CTAACATAGTCTTACCTGTGTTGTACCCTCGTCCCAGAGCTGGCCATGGACGATGATTTTTCCATAAATTCCCTAGATACCAATCACTTTGATTTTCCACCAAGCCAAGAACCTGTTGTCCTGCAAAGAAACAAGAGAAATGTTACATAGATGAAAGATGAAGAGACAAACAAATGGAAAAAAAGGCTGCATTTAGGAACACATTTGAATATACAAAGGATCTAGCAGTAGACTATAAAAAATAAATGATAATTGTATTTTTATGGGTGTCCGTTGGCCAAAGAAAATCTGTTTCACTGCATGATGGAAGCTGGAGGGGTGGAAGCTGGTGCAAGCAAATGGTAGATCCCCTGATGTAATAGAACTGAATATTCCATGATACTTTGCTATTCTGAAGACTGGCAAAGTATAATGACAGGTGATCTACTTTTACCCACCACTGGTTCAGTGTAAAAGCCCATGCCTTAGATTGATGCTGCATAAATCAGGCCTTGTCAAGAATGTAGGATATTAGTAGCATCTAACAAAAGCACATGGACTCTAACAAAGGATTATGTGAGACAGACTTAGCTATCCTAACATCACTTTATGTTTAGTTATTTTTATATTAAAGGAACACTATAGTAACCAGAACAATCACAGCTTAGTGTATTTGTTCTGATGAGCATACTCATTCCCTTCTGGACTTTTGCAGTAAACATAGTTTTTTTCAGAGAAAAGGCAGTGTTTACATTACAGCCTAGGGATACCTCCACAGGCCATTCCTCATATGGCTACCAGAGTTCAACAGTGTGTGTAGAATATTGCATATTCTATGTTTCTATTGATTATATATGGATGTGTGGATTGACATAAGTAACAGATGGTATAAGTCACAAGACTTTCTTTGTCCGAGAGCTCTGGAATTTGGAGTTGGGGGTTTTGTCCTTATATGGCTAGAGGTAAACTCTAACGTCAGTATGAGCACATCTATATAGTAACAGAGGGGCACAATGTCACTCTCTCTCTCGATGTAAAGATGTAATGATGTAAAGAAGTACAGCAATTACCATCTGCTGTTGAATGTCCATTATCCTGTAACATCATTTGTTGTTTTATTATGTATCCGTAACTAAGAATAAACCTGAAGAAACCGTAATTCAGATTGCGTATTAGTACTTTTCAATAATATAGACATATATTATTGTGGCGAGCATTTGGTCCAAGATTATATATACAAAGGGCGTATATGTAGCAATCAACTGAAGACAAGAAGAAATTAAGAAGATTCTACATTAACGATTCGAACCAGATTTTACAGTGTGCAGCACTGACATTCAGAGTATCCACCCTCTGCATGCAGGCACTGAATTTTCATTGATACAATTAATCTCTATGAGGAGATGCTGATTGGCCCCGGCTGTGTTTGGCTTGTGTCCCTGACCTGCCTCCATTGCAATCTTAGCCAATCCAAAGCTATGGGAAAGCATTGTGGTTGGCTGAGAGCATCACTTCTGATGATGTCAGCCAAGCAGGTAGATCAGGAGCAGCAGCAGATTGGAATTAAGATAAACTTTTACTATTTAGGAGGGCCACGCGGGGGGTAGGGGGATCTACATTGTGTTTTTAATTAATACCAAAAATAGGGTAGGCACTAAAAGATCAACTTTAAATGTACAGAAAAAAAGGCTGCAGACACTGACAGTAAGATATACTCTCAACCCCCTACTGGCAAAGAGAAAGCAAAATAATACAAAACACAAATACAGGTTGCGCCAATATAAAGTCTAGTAAATCCACATATGCTTTAGAATATCCTTCCTGATATCTTTCCATACTTGGGATAATTCGAGGTATATGCAATGAAGCAAAGAATAACTAATGGTGCACATTGTCTAGTGCTAGATGCACTATCATCAGTTATTCTTTGTTTCATTGCATATACCTCAAAGTATCAGAAGGTATATGCAACAAAAATATATATTGTATTGCACTCACATTTAGTAGAGCTATAAACCAGCTTTAGGTAAAACAGCATACATCAGTACAATCCCCACTGATGGATACGTAGCTCTCTATAGGTCCGTCTCTCAGCATGCAGATGCATGTGTGACTATTACAGGTTTAAGGTTCCTCTTTATGGGCAATCACAAACCTGCTCTCTATTTCTGAAGTGTCATTTGTTTTCTAATCTCTTTTAGACTGCAAACTCTGAAGATGAAAATATTAAAACTTTTGCTTCATTACTGTTCTCTGTTTTACAATTTATTTGTGATACCCTTGAAAAATACTGCCAGATCTATAATATTGTTTCTAATATCAACATGTTTATAAATATGTTACACAGGTGCTAATAAGTGTGTTTAGTTGTACACTCTACACAGTGATCAGGATATGTGCACAATATAACTTTGGGACATTGTGATAAATACATTTTTTAAAAAAGCACATTTAGTAATTCTCTGCATTTTCTCCCTGTCACAGACTGTCTGGTAAACAAGTTTATTTTGTTTAAACACAGCCTATGTGCAGTCTGTCTGAAGTCATTATACTAATGAAGAATGATGGTACCCAGCAACCTCTCTGACGTGTTAAGTGGACTGAATTCCCAGCATTGCTGGGGAGAGTTATATTCATCTCTCCTACCTGTTGTGTCAATGTAGTTTTGTTTGTTTGCTTTTATCTCTGCCCTTCAGTGTCACCTTGCTCTTGTCCCTTTATTTACATTTAGCCATCCTTTATTGATGTAAGTCTTGATAGTGTTGAGAGAATGTATGTACATACAAGATGCCCTTTGGTATGGTAAAGGATTTGACTCTACAGATAATCAAATTATTGGTTTGAATGAACATGTTCAAGTTTAAAGCATATTTCAAGCTATGTAAAAACACAACTGAATCTCATAATTCTACCTTTATAGAGGTTTCTCCACCTTTCACACAATATATATATATATATTTATATATATATATATATATATATATAAAAACATGGGGCCGTGTATTATCATGCTGCAACATGAGGTGATGGTCGTGGATGAATAGCACAACAATGGGCCTCAGGATCTCGTCACGGTATCTCTGTGCATTCAAAATGCCATCAATCAAATGCACCTGTGTTTGTTGTCCATGACATACAACTGCCCATACCATAACTCCACCGCCACCATGTGCCACTCAATCCACAACGTTGACATCAGCAAACCACTCACCCACACAACGCCATACATGCTGTCTGCCATCTGCCCTGTACAGTGAAAACAGGAATTCATCCGCTCCAAAGGACATTCCTGCAGTCAGCATGCCAATTACATGCTCCCTCAAAACTTGCGACAACTGTGGTATTGTGCTGTGTGATAAAACTGCACATTTTAGACTGGCCTTTTATTGTGGTTAGCCTAAGGCACACCTTTGCAATAATCATGCTGTCTAATCAGCATTTTGATATGCTGTGAGGTGGATGGATTATCTCGGCAAAGTAGAAGTGAGGTGGATGGATTATCTCTGCAAAGGAGAAGTGCTCACTAACACAGATTTAGACAGATTTGTAAACAATATTTGAGAGTAATATGCCTTTTGTGTATATAGAAAAATTGTTAGATCTTTGAGTTCAGCTCATGAAAAATGGGGGCAAAAACAAAAGTGTTGCGTTTATAATTTTGTTGAGTGTATATATTTATATATATATATATATATATATATATATTTTTTTTTTTTTAATTTTTTTTTTTTTTTTAAACCTGAGTGAAAGCATTGAATTCAGCATCTCATAAAGCATCACAGTATTGTAGACAATCTTTGACAGATGACAGTAAACCATATAGTTTATATGATGCTACACAGGCTCCTTTACAACAGTTTGCAAAAAAACACCATACATTTTGATATTTAAAGCAGATGTGCCATTGATCACCTAAACTCACCTGGGCCACTCTACTATCTGCCACACAGTAAACCTATTCACCAATCTAACAAAACACAGCCAATCTTTTCACCCGTTATACAGCTAATCCCTACTTCTACCTTCCTAAATACAGCAAGGAGCATGGATCCTCTTAAATCATTACAGTGTATTTTGATCCATCTAAATTCAACAGACTTATTGTGCTCATGTTTTTTTTAAACGAAACTCATGGCTCATTGCCAACCTTGGGCTCCTTAAAAACTGCATTAGTAGCATTTAGCAGCCAGCCACTACTAGTTCCTGACTGTCATTATTAAAAGATAGTAGCTAAGAACAACTTTTCTATGAGAGCCACTATCCACTATTTAGAAACTACATCCCAACTGGTTTCCAACACTGTTGTTATTCATTACCAGCTGCCGCTAGGGTTGCCACCTTTCTTGGAATTTTTTTTTACTGGCCATGCTAATTTGCATAATTATGTATGCGTGATGTCACTGGACATGGCGTCACGGGATATTGTGTAACATTTGGAAGAGGAAAGTTACATACAGACATACAGTGATAAACAGACACAGACATACAGACCGTTTCATCCAGACACTCAGACAGGCACGTCGCGACAAGGCAAGCAAACCAAGCAATTGCTTGGGGCCCCGAGCTGGCCTGGGGCCCCAAGACAATGACCAGGGACGTATTAGCCGTTGTGACAAAATGCCTTTTATAGGATTTTTATATGACCAACTGCCCTCTGCCCCTGGCTGTTGGAGGAGCCTGATTGCCAGCCTCCTCCCTCATGACTATGGCCCTGGGGTGTATTGCCATTTAAAAATACTATTTGGGGCTTATTGGCTTCTAACAGACTGTTTCTGCCCATTTGAATCCATGGGCCAATTACCTCCAGCATACAGAAAATGGCTCTATTCACAACAACAGTAAAAGCACATAAAAATACATAATTCCTATTATACTTAACATAACCCCCACATTCAACCTATCCCCAGATAGCTTGTATCTGAGCGCTCACTATATCCGAACAGCGCTCAGATACACAACCACAGTCAAATCGCCATGGGGTTAAAACACAGCAAGAGCTGATGAGAGGCCGAGAAGGGGCAAAACAGCAAGTTCCAACTGGTCTGGCAGTGTGCCTGGGACAACGCCCTGCTGGAACAATTCCTATCTATTGTTCCAGCAGGGCGTTGTCCCAGGCACACTGCCAGACCAGTTGGAACTTGCTGTTTTGCCCCTTCTCGGCCTCTCATCAGCTCTTGCTGTGTTTTAACCCCATGGCGATTTGACTGTGGTTGTGTATCTGAGCGCTGTTCGGATATAGTGAGCGCTCAGATACAAGCTATCTGGGGATAGGTTGAATGTGGGGGTTATGTTAAGTATAATAGGAATTATGTATTTTTATGTGCTTTTACTGTTGTTGTGAATAGAGCCATTTTCTGTATGCTGGAGGTAATTGGCTTACCACACCGAAGCCATGTTTGCAGATGGTCACAAAGGGACTTTCAACTAACTTTTGACCCACTGGACCAATTTGTATGATTTTCACGTATGTTTGTATTTGGAGAATGCTGATTCTGAAAATGTGTGAATGTGATGTATACTTTTAGAGTTATGAATATTGTGTAAAAACTGTGTATTTTTCTGCCTGTGATAATTAAGTTAGACCATTGTGTTCAGTAATTATATCACAGGCAGAGGGGAGGATTTTTTGTGGGAGTGTCTGAGTGTATTGTACGTATTGATTGGTTGTTCTGCAAAACCCTGTGGGCAGTACTATGTGTGTAAAATGTGCATAAAAGCAGAGTGTTTGATTAAAAGCTTCAGTTCTATTTAACCCTCAATCTGAGTCCTGTCTCTTATTGGGGGAATCTGCTACAAGGGATTGTTATGCTCTGCATATTCCCTTGCTATAATCACTGAGCACTTGTAAGAGCTTGTTCCTGTCTTGCTCTCTGATCTACGGTGGTTATGGTGTCAGCTGGAGTGCTTGGAGCCCTCAGGAAGCGCTAGGAGCATCCTTCAACGGAGGTACTCAGTTAGGGTGCCAGGTGATCCATTACAGCCGTGAGGCAAACAAGGCATTTGCCCTGGGCGGAACTTTCCAGGGGCCGGCAAAAAAAGCCGCCCCCAAATGCCCAGGGCAAATGTCTTGTTAGCCTTGTGGTTAACTAACAACCCGGTTGGTCGGGTGGCGCTGGTGAGGGAGCACTTTCCCTTGAGCGCTCTGCTCAGCGCGTCATATTCCAGCTCCTGGCATCACTCTTAGAGAGTTTCTTGAGGAGACAGTGCATAAACTCCTCCTTTAGGAGGCATAGTACCTGGTAACAAATTTATGGCACAGTCATAGGGTCTATGTGGTGGTAATGTCTCAGACTGAACCTTGTTGAATACTTCCTTTAAATCCAAATACTGCGGTGGGATTTTTGTGGTTAAGGGAGGCTCTATGGGCACATTGATGGTACCAACTCGTTGTGGCATTTGTTGTAAACAATGACCTCTGCAACTCTCTCCCCAACTCACAATCTCTCCTTCAACCCAATCTAAACGTGGATTGTGTTTCTGGAGCCAAGGAAAACCGAGTATTATAGGACATGTAGGGGAAGATATACCATGAAAAATCATCTCTTCTGAATGTAAGAAGCCTACTGAGACAGTGTTTTGCAGGGTTTCATGCATGATGAGAGGCTGGGTAAGAGGTTTCCCATCGATAGCCTCTACTGCTATGGGTCTATCTTTCTGCCTTAAAGGCAGGAGATGTTTGGCAGAGAATTCCTTATCAAGAAAATTCTCTGCTGCCCCAGAGTCAATCAAGGCCTCACACTGAACAGTAGTACTCTTACTCACAGAGTGATCTTTATAAGGAAGCGGTTCTTAGTCAATTTAGGGGACATTTACATCACATCTAAGATCAGTCCCCGAATGTGCCTTAGGTGCACGAGTTTTCCGGCCGAGCCGGACATGCAAGCCTTAGATGTCCCCTCTTACCACAATATAGACACAACCCCTCATTGCGTCTGTATTGTCTTTCTGCCTCAGTGAGTTTAGCAATGCCCAATTGCATGGGTTCAACCTCTGAAGGCGGAGCAAGATTACCAATCACTGGGTTAGAGAAACGAGGAGATATAGACAAGTTGTTACGTCTAGTATGCTGTTTATTTTTCTCCCTCTCCCGGAGTCTGTTGTCAATAGCAATCATATAGGCAATATAATCGTTAAGATTTACTGGAAGGTCTCCCTCGCCAGTGGGAGATTTACCGGAAGGCTGCGGTCTCATCCTGTATATTTTCAGCCAACTCTTCAGCAAACGCAGCCACCAGACCACTGTTAGTCCAGTCCACCTCAGATGCTAGTGTCCTGAACTCTATCGTGTAATCAGCTACCGAGCGGGTGCCTTGCTTTATTCTCATTAAGGCTTTAGCAGCATTTTTCTCTCTCCCCTTAGGCTCAAAGGTAGCTTTAAAAGCCGTTAAGAATACATTATAATCCCGAGCAACTGGATTCCCACTCTCCCATAAGGGATTAGCCCAGGTTAAAGCCTTCCCCGTTAATTGGTTCATAAAATAACCAATCTTTGATCTATCTGTAGGAAAGGAACCAGCGGAAGCTTCTAAATTATATTCAATCTGGTTAAGAAAACCTCTGAAATCCTTAGAATCACCTCCGAAACGAGGAGGAGGTGAAAGGGTTATGGATGGAGGTTTATATGCCACAGGTGCAGGTACAGGTGGCGGAGCTACCGGTGATACCGAGGATGCTTCCAGATAAGCGTTCTCTGGAGCAAGGTCTGGAACGCTTGGGCAAACTGAACTAACCTGTGGTCCATATCCTCCACCCTGCTCTCACAGCATGGCCCTGTCGTAATGTCACGACTGCTAGTGTGGTCCAACATGCAAAAACTATGTAAACATATACATAGAAAATGAAAAGGAAATAAAAGGATAAAACGTAAACTGGTCCTTAGAATGGCCGGACTAATACGTAGAGACAGAGAATGGTCAAAGGGAAAGCCAAGGTCAAGGAAGCCAGAAATACACAAATACCGTTTAAACAAGTCAAGTCAGGGAAACCAGAAATCGGAATAACAAGGAATAGCCAAGGTCAAAATACCAGAATATCAGAATCACAAGGATAAACGCACACTCGGGAACCAGGAACAGGAAACCACGACAGGTACTGGGGCAAATCGGGGATTTAAATATCCCTCTCTGGGTTCTGATTGGTCAGAGGTTGACCTCTGACCCCAGAACGTGCGCGTGCATTGGCGTTGTGACGTCACACGCACGTCCGTATAACTTTTAGGGGTGGAGACTTTGATGGGCGAGACCGCATGGTCTGCGCCATCTTTGGTTTGGGCACACTGCCCAGGAGACGCGGAGGAGCGGTTGCCACTTCGCCAACGAGCAGGTTGGCTTTATTGGCGCGGTCGTGCCGGTCGGGCACAGACGCGCCGTGCGGCGGGCCGGGAGCCATAACAACGGGAAAGAACTGCAGGTTTCAAGGACTGTGAATTTGTGCTGGAAATAAGGTAAGAAATAGGGTACATTATTTAAAATAAATTTTTATACAAAATGGGTGGAGACAGGGGTCCATAGGAAGGCATAAAAATAATTAACATAATACAAATGGATATATTAGTTCAATCCTTTGTTTTCTTTCAAGATCTGGCTTTTATTAAAAAAAAATACTTTATTTGAAATAATATACCGCTTGTATTTGGTTGCAAAAATATTTATTCATTTTTTTCACTGAAAATATAATCTTTAAACACTGTATTCTGGTAGTTCACTATGTGAAATGTATATATTTATATTATGTGTGTAGCTAATGGTTCTAATACTGTCTACTGCCAAGGCTACTCAAACTCGGTATCTACAGCCAAAAACAGAAGTTTTGTATAAACTTTTAAGTATTATAATAGAATAAGCAATTAAAGCAATATTCATTTCTGAAGTAATCTGCTCGCTTAAGTGCTGCCTAACTACTGTATAACTGATGATCTGTAAAACAGCCATAAACTCTTGATTAAACATTTAAAGCACTGAGATGTAAATAGATTCAGAGAGGACAGACTTGACAATCTAATCTCCATTCTACCGACCTGCCAATAACTGGCATGATCCTCTATAGTATCTAGGAGATTTTTGGGTTATTTATCCAGCAGGACAGAACAGCAAAATATAAAAAAAGGATGCATCCCATTTTTACATAAAGATGTAGTCCATAGTATGGGAGCAGTACCTTAGTTGACAAGATTGAGGTCATCTCAGACACACTGTTGCACTTACTCATTATATTATTACGGCTTTGATAAAAGTCTGGTACAGCTTTACACAAGTCATTAAACAACAATGCACATATGATGCTTTTAAAGCAGTTATAACACCCTGAAACTGCCTACAGCCCTAAAACAAGCTCTGTAACTCCATTGTAAGCTGGTATAAACAAACACAACTAATATGTATTGGTTAAATTATTCATTCATCTTTGATTGTTTTTTAAACATTAATTTCCTTTTGGTGGTTGTTTCATGACATTTTGTTCAACATATACTGTACCATTATTAATTAGTGTCTATTTCCATATCTGTTAAAAAGACAAGTCACCCCTCCTTCCCCTTCTTGTAAAATAATGGACATTTTCAAAATATCTTGTTCAGACATTACAAGGGAAAATAAATTAATATTAATAATGTTCCAAAATAACATAGGGCAACCAAGCAATTTCACGCTGTGACAAGTCAACCCGGAGGACTTTTTAAACAAATAGTAAGCACGGTTTTTACACTGGGTCTTAATGCTTGACTTGACACCTTTTCTTACGTGAGAGCGGAAATAAAACAAATAAACAGCACAAACCAGCAAATAACAGAGCCTAAAGCCAGCAGCGACTTTAGGAACAAGCCTCTTGGCACTATGACTGAGGATTTAGAAGTCCTAGTCCCATGGCTGCTTGAGATATTCCCTATTTGCCATTTGTGTGTGCTGGCAGCAAGTCGTGTTTTACATTTGATTTGTTTTCCACTGCAAAATAGCGCCTTTAAGGTCCACAGTCTGCAAAGCCAGGTTTAACCCTAAACATGGGAGCTCTAAGTGGAACTGACAGGCAGAGTATGTGACCTTCGAAGAAACAAGAATATCCCTCTAGAAGGCATCTATGATTTTATATCCCCTCTAGCACTCTCACCCATTTCTACTGGATTTGTACGTTGTCCATCCTTGTTCC